GTCTCATTCTGTCACCAGGCACCAGGCTGGAGTGCAGTGGCGTGATCTCGGCTCACTGCAACCTCTGCCTCCCAGGTTCAAGCAATTCGCCTGCTTCAGCCTCCTGAGTAGCTGGGACTACAGGTGCACACCACCACGCCCAGCTAATTTTTGTATTTTTAGTAGAGATGGGGTTTCACCATGTTGGCCGGGATGGTCTTGATCTCTTGACCTTATGATCTGCCTACCTTGGCCTCCCGAAGTGCTGGGATTACAGGTGTGAGCCACCGCACCTGGCTGTATATATTTTTTTAATAGAGACAGGATCTCCCTCTGTCACCCAGGCTGGAGTACAGTGGTGTGATCAAAGCTAACTGGAACCTCAGAATTTTGAGATTGAGAGATCCTCCTGCCTCAGCCTCCCAAGCAGCTGGGACTACAGGTGTATACCACCACACCCAGCCAATTTTTATGTGTTTTTTTGTGTGGGGGGAGTTTAAAATATATTTTATAAATCAAAAAATGTAAATAGAGACAAGGTCTCACTATGTTACCCAGGCTAGTCTTGAACTCCTGGGCTCAAGCAATCTGCCCGCCTTGATCTCCCAAACTGGGATTACAGGCATGAGCCACCGCACCCAGCCTGTTTTATATCTTCATGAACACAAAGGGAAGATTTTTAGAACCATTTTTATTTTAGAGTCCATCCCTGCCTTGAGGAGCCTTACCAAGTTGGATAGAAATGGAATTTTTTGGTGCCTAATATAGAACTAAAGGACAAGGACTTATCTTTAGAAAGTTTGTTTTGGTGGGGTCATCTTTTTTCTTATTCAGGCCTCCTCTTCCAATTACTCCTGTCCCGTAGGCAGTAAGTGGAAAAGAGTTTATCCCAACTACAGTATAATATTTTAGAGCTATGGGCAAGTTACCTTCAATTTATTTTTTATTTTTAAAATCTCAGTTTCTGTGTATTACAACTTAATTCTGTTAAAAGACATCTTTGTTCAGAACCCTTCCAGTAGTTCTAGACATTCCAGGAACCATATGGAAGAAGTATGGTTTAGTGGTTAAGAGTAGGCTCCAGAGCCAGCCTGCTCGTGTTGAAATCCTGAATCTGCCACTTTCTTTCTGTGACAAGTTACTGAACTTTTATTTATTTTCAGTGCCCCTAAGTAGATGTCTTAAATGTTAGAGGTTTGTGAATTGATTCAGTTTATTCTCCCCACTGAGCTTCAGAGCCAAGGACAAGAATCAAAAGACGAAATCTAGCATCTTATATTTACCTAAGCACTTTTCATCAAAGGTAATGCATATTGCACATGTAATATGCACATATTATGTACATAGAACACATGCACTAAGTATTTCCATGCATTTTGTATGTTGCAAAATAATATGCTTCTTTGAAGGAACATGAATCTCAAAGGAAAAAAGCCAAAGTTAAAGGTTACATAAGAGCTAGCAGTAGTAAGGAAACATGGTTTTCTCTTACTTCCTGCCCATGGCTGCCAAACTGTTCTCTGAAGACTGCTTTGTGACAGAAGCTCTTTCCTTTGAAAGCCTGTCACAACACAACAAGAAAAAGGTCTGTTTCTTTAGAGGTACATTTTTGGGCACAAGAAGGCTTTTAAAAAACATTTTGGCCATCCTTTTCATTGTAGGAGTCTGGTGCTTGCTGCCTAGTTTGGGAGTAGAGGAAAAGACTCTGGTTCTTTACCGGGATATAGATGGAAAGGGAGTATGGCCCAGCTGAGTGTGCTAGCTCTCTCTCCATTGCACTTCTGACACCTTTCATGTAAGGGCTTCAGGATAAGAGGGTTGCATAGCTTCTTATGGACATTTGGACATTTTCTTTGCCTCATAATTATTTTGAACTATTTCTTTAGGCTCTTCATTGAGAAACTACCAAAGCATCGAGATTACAAATCTGCTGTCATTCCTGAAAAGAAAGACACGGTAAAGGTAGGCCTTCACTTTCATTGTTGCCTATCTAGAAGCTTCAAAGCAGCACAAACTGACTTCAAGATAAAAGTAGTAGTCTGTGCATCTGAATATCAGATTCTAGAATAGGAGATAAGGCCATTTCACCAGAACAGTTCTGAAGTAGCAGGTATAGTACAGTAGTGGATATTTTAAATCATTTTGGGGAATATTGCAATCACCAGCTTAAGTCTTCTTTTGGATTCTGTAATTTTCTGGCATTATTCTAATTCTATTTTCTGTTTTGTGTCCCAGAAATTAAAGGAGATCGCATTTCCCAAAGCAGAAGAGCTGAAGGCAGAGCTGCTAAAACGATATACCAAAGAATATACAGAATATAATGAAGAAAAGGTTAGTATACAACAGCCAAGAAGAAGAAAAGAAAATTATTTTGCTTTTTTTAGGCTGTGCCCTGGGATTGTAATATGACATTTCAGTATATCCTGTGCTTTTAATGTGCATTTTACTTTTTTTGGACAAAGACCAGGAACTCAAAAAAGTAGAACACCAGTGGTCAGGCTCAGGATTGTAACACAGATATAGCCTATTTGTCAAAGAGAGACTTGAGGGACAGAAGATCTGTTGCTTGCCTGCTGTATCTAGAGAGAATCTTAAGAACAATGAACATTCTCTCCAAAGCATGGGTTTTTAGATCAGAAAATTTGAGGGTTTGATTCACATTTGGTTATACCTGAAGCTATTTATAAATTGATTTATTAATTAATTTTTCTTTTTTTTTTTTTTTTAGACGGAGTTTCGCTCTTGTTACCCAGGCTGGAGTGCAGTGGCGCGATCTCGGCTCACCACAACCTCCGCCTCCTGGGTTCAGGCAATTCTCCTGCCTCAG